GGACTGAGGTTCATTCACCGTGGTTGGGAGCTTTGGTCCTTTGGAGAGCCGCCGATGGAAAACATGAGGACATGAAACAATGAACAACTAAATTAGGCTTCAACGGCATCAGTTACAACGCGTTTGCAGCCTCATCACCCCACAGCCTCCGCCACTGACGACGTCCCGACCATCAGAAGACACAGATACCCCACACCCTCCCGAGCTCCACATCATCATATCCTTCCCCATCTCCCAGCTGCGGGAGATGAGGAAGGAACACCAGACCATCCCACGGCCCCACCACCGAGGTACAGTGTGCAACAGGAGCACACTAAGCACCGCTGAAAAACCTCCGCGAACAGCAGGCCTGCTCGCGATGACGGATGGCCGGGTGATGGGTTTGTGCGCACAGAGAGGCGCCGACGACCGCCGGTGACGCGGCTGCGGCCTGGCAGCGCGGGCGGTACAAATTTGTTTTCGACGCGGGATGCGCGCAGCGGACGCGCCGGCAAGTGTGCAGCACGTGATTTGTCAAACTGGCCTGATGGAGGCGGATGAAGAGAGAGAGAGAGAGAGAGAAAGAGAGAGAGAGAGAGAGAGAGAGAGAGAGAGAGAGAGAGAGAGAGAGAGAGAGAGAGAGAGAGAAAGGGGGAGAGAGGGAGGGAGGGAGGGAGAGGGAGAGAGGAGAGGGAGAGAGAGAGGGCGGGTCCGATGAGCGTGCCTATCAGTGTGTTGTGTAGCCACTAGCCACTACACTAGCCGGTAGCAAACATTGGCGGTGCGTTAGATCAGCCGCCGAGTCGCGGTCCAGGCGAGGGCGTGGTCGCGGGCGGCGGTGGCACCTCACTATTTATACCCAGCCGACAGCCGACGGACCACCGAGATTAGAGCCGGCCGCTGACGGACCGACGACCGACCGACAGGCCGTCAGCGTCACCGTCCGGCCGTCAGACGGGTGACGGCGACATTAGACGGGGTGACGGCCACATTAGACGGGTGACGGCATCATCAGACGGAATGACGTCGGTGTGATGTTGCCGAAATAATGACGGAAACTCTAAGGAGTGGTGTAGACTGGAGCATCAGTGATGGAGGAGCAGAGCGTTATGGTGGTTTTATCAGAAGATCAGCTTTATCATCAGTCGGTGGTAGAGACGGCACGTCGCTATTGATGTTACGATATCAGCTCCCTCCCCTACGGTAGTGGAGCGTTAGCGTACGAGATAGTTAGATAATCGCGCCTCGTACACATGAACACTATCGCGGGGCAGTAGCTGATCGATAATGTAATCGCATAACACGGCATCCGTCGCAGGTGCGCACGCACATACGGAAGCCAATTAGGTGGCGCGGGAGGTAGCGCCGTCAATTTGTAGGAATGGACCAAGAATCAGCTTCTGTGCGTTCCTGGTCTCTGATGCTATTACTAATGAGGAAAGAAAGCGATCGGTTTAGTTTTACTACACATGCTATATAAAGGGAGAATGGGAACGGGATGATTGCATGTCAAGTTGTGACCTAAGACGAGGTCTGGAGCGACTCGGGGCCAGCAACTCGGTTCCAGTACGCAGGTGGATCATTCCAATGGCCTCCTCATGGCTGATACCACGTGCCATGTGTTGTGTACCCGCCCGGGTCGGACCGGGCCGGCCCGGGTCGGTCTCAGGGCGGTCGGACGGGGCGTTACCGGTCCCTCTGGCCGACCACCGCCGCCGGCTGAGAAATGAGCGCGTGCCCGGGCGCCGCGCCGCGATGGTATCGGGTCACCACGGCGCCGCTGTCCCGCCCCCGCCACCCGCAACAATGCGCCGTTTTTGTCACTGGCCCGTGTCGCGCCAAACATGTTTACATCAGTCACCGCCGGCGCCGCTGGACGCAGCACCGGCATTGTCACCGCAGGCTGGGCGTCAATACTCACTAACGAGGCGCGATAGGTGGCGCCCCGCGGCGCTCTATAGGTGGCGCCACAGGACGGTCGTGGTCCACGGGGCTGCAGGGAGGTCGCACAGGCGATGGATGGCAGGTCAGGAGGTCAGTAACAATGTGAATATGAGCCTTTATGTTGAGTCGAGAGATGACACGAAGGCATTTCTGAGCATTGTTTCTTGGTCAACAGCTTTATATTCTCATGCGCATAAGCACGTTTTCGATAGGTAATCATAAACATGTCTGATGTCGAGTTAACGAAAAAGGGTTTAGGTATGCGAGTGTGGTCCGAGCAGCTTAGAGGGGGAGAGGCAAACACTGGTGATCTCTTATCTGTGGCCCAAGCTAGCCAGCCAAAATATTTCAGCGCTTAAATTTTATATTAAAAGAATCCCTTCTCCATGTACAACTTTTTGTCAAACCATGTGAAAGTAAAACCGTTTAAAAATTATTGTCACGAATGCTGACTGCGCCATCATGCTTTTAAACTGAAGCTAAGAGCATTTAAATGGTTTGATAGCACTATTAAATTGAATAGCATGTTCATTGCCTAATAAAATAGGCAATAAATTCTTATGATTCTATAACAAGTCCAAAAGGCTAACCATGGTCGATTAATTTAAACACCGTGCTTACTTTCCTTCCAGTTTCGATCAACATAAAACTACACCACCTACCGTTTTAAATCTTGTGGATAATCCACGGGCTACGTAGGTGGGTAATATGGGTACTAGGACTACGATCAAATGAGGCCAATTATTTTTCAGGCTGATGCCTGGCGCAACAATCGGTGAGGTGAATTTGCTACCGTTTAAATGTGTCACATCCGTGCTAGATTTCACAATAGGAAATACGATCTTGTGATGAAGAAACTAAATGTCATGATAGCAAGGAAAATTGTCGGATATGGAGACGTCATCATACAAAAATAACACATGTCTTATGGAGGCTAGGCCATTGAATCTGTTTATGAGAATAGCATGCACCGTTTGTAATAAGGTTCGGACTTCGGAACATCAGCGAATAGCATTGTCTCTGCAGGTTTTGTTGTTGTGCATGCTTTAGCTAATGACAGGGCTGTGGATGCGAGCTCGTTCACTGCACGTGGCGTTCAGACGGCAGCCGTCAGGTTGCATGTCAGTGCAGGGTTGCAGATAGTCATCGATGGTCACGCCACGACGGAATAACCAGCACGTCAAATGGCTAGATCACCAAACACGGACCACTGGCACAGCAGAAAACCCATTCCTTTCCAATTTTGCCAAAATAAATAACATGAACAATTTGTCCAGGAATCACTGTCAGAAATACAACCCTTTGACACGCGCTGTGGCGACAAATCTTCCGGGACATTTGTTGATATTTACTGCCTTCATATATCGTTCGAAATATCCGAGTGAGGGGCACGCCCGACAAATGAAATGGCTAGGGCTGGATCGGGGAGGGGTCGAGGAATTCACGGTCCCCGAGCAGCCGAGGGCTGGCCCAGAAATTCCGTGGCGGTTGATGAGCATCATTATACGCTATCGCGAGCGTCTATTGTTAAAAGTCATCGGCTCAGGACTGGCCTTACCCCTGTTGACTTTTATTTCACTCCTAGCATTATACCTACCACAGCCCTCTTCTACATTTCCTAGGTTGAGCGCTGCAGAGGCCAGAGAGTTACCGATTGTGACCAGCACCATTGATGTTTGTTATCTTCTGCTACCAGATGAACTTGTCACGTCAACTATAGGACTATTCGTGCATAATCACACACACGAACAGAAATAATCACTCATGCCGGATCGGGAAACGAACGGGCTTGTCCAGTGCTGTAGGAAAACGACCTTTTTGTATGTAACGCTGTCAGCGAGAGAGACCTCGTCATTGTTCAGTGTGCTCCTCAGTCATTGCACAAAGGCCTGTTGTATTCAGCGTCGCGACTGAGGACAAGACGAATAGCCACGCGCGTTCGTTTGTCACTGCGGAAAGGCAGTTCGAGTGAAGTGTGGGTGATGCAGATATTGGGGACAGCCAGGGGATGGTGGAGGACATCGGGTAAGGCAGGGGACGGCTGGGAAAACTATACGGTTTGGGAGACGGTTGGGATGACCTCAGTGATCTCACGGGGAGACAGAGCAGTAGAGGCGGAACACCTTTAGTTAAGGGGGGGCACTGCCGACTTTTGGTCCCATTCTTTCCACGTAACGCCCATAGGGCTAATGTTAAAATGTCAAAATCAAAGGGGGGCACGGTGCCCCGGTGCCCTCCCCGTTCCGCCGCCTATGAGACAGAGAGGTGAAGAGGTCATTATACCTACTTAGGAGCCATGACGGTGTTGCTATAAGAGGGAAAAGTGTCGGCCGCCGCCCTGGCTCGCGTGCTGACCACGACCTTTTTCAGCACAATTGTCATACTCATAGTGTGACCTTACACCTCCGAGAGTCCCATTCGTTTGTGCTCAAACATTAACCCACGAGCCGCTGGGGGGGGGGGGGCATAAAGTTGCCCCCCCCCCTTTACGTTTTGTGAAATATCTCCGAAACCTGATGAGCTACGAACGTGAAACTTGGCATAGCTTCAAATGAATACCTAGGCAATGTTTGAGGAAAGTTTGGTGGTTGTAGCACCTGAGATGACGTCACAGTGACGTCATAAAGTTTTGTCGTTTTCCGATATGGACCGTTTCTGATGACGCTGAGCATGAAACTCAACTGTAAATGAACTAGACAGCACCTGCTGTCATCCTAAAATATCTAACTACACTTCCATCTAGTTTCTGACCAATAATCGACCCTTTATATTCGGTCCCATATATCTGATGTATCGTGAGGGAGGAATATAAGAGTCACAAATCTATAATTTCACTTATGACGTCACTGTGACGTCATTTCAAATGGGATCGACACCAAATTTGGACACAACCTCGGCTAGGTATTCAGGAAGATGTGTGCAAAGTTTCGCTTCTCTATCTCTTCGCGTTGCGACGATATCGTCGCAGAAGTAAAGGGGGGGCAACTATATGCCCCCCCCCCCAGCGGCCGGCGGGTGGCGCGGAGGCCCAGCGGCCGCCGTGTTAACGTAACTGGCGGCTATGCTAATGTGAATGTAGGCCCAGAGAAGATGCAGGTCGGCGGGAAATCACCTTAGCTCTGCAGTCCGAAAGTTGGCCTATCCCCGACCGTTGTATACAGCAAGTTCGATGCATTGTAAATCGTGATGGGTTCGCCATCAGAGTGGGTACCGAGGGGCCTTCCCGAGCGCCGCGCCGCGCTGCCACAGTGCGGGGAACCTGTCGGTTCGCGGTTTTCCCCGAGTGAGAAGGGTGTCCGCGCCGAGCCGACGAGCCGGCACTGTTGGCGGCGGCGAGGGGTGGTAGACGGACGGCGGTCGGCGCGGGTCGGACAGGACAGTGAAGAATGGAGACCGGACGACCGTCGGTGGTCGGCCTGTTGTTGGTGCTGACGGTGCTGGCCGGGCTGACCTGCTCTGCACGCGCAGCACACGATAGAGGTGAGTCCAGCTCATCAGTGGTGGGCAAGACCGTTTGGGGCTAATTAGAGCAAACAGCGGGATTTATCTTTTTCGCTCACTGGGTCAGCTAAATAAATTTTGTGGTTCAATCGAACAGATGCCCATGGTTCTCGGTGAAACACGGACCATTCCATGTTTGATGCATTGGTAGAATGATGGTCAGGTTGCTGCAGCGGTAAAGAAATGCACGCAAAGACTCATCAGTGCCGGATGAATGTAAAACTTTTCTCACCTGGCGCCAACATTTTACATCTATTCCCGTCTTTAACCCGACACTCAGGCAAACACAAACTCATCATTGTGCTGGCTACCTATTTTGTCCTCCGTCGATCGGACTTGGACCCGTTGTTGAACAGTAAAAATGCATTGTTGTTTTGCTGAAGAGGTTCCTCGTAAGATGTTTAGGTATACTTTTGTACCAGTTCAACTTCTATAAGTTTCTTTCTGTCAAGTACGTCTTGCCAATCGCCATGTAACTAGGCGAAAAACAAACAAAAAAGTCGACCCTGCAGGTCCCTCCGGACATTGCTTGCGGCATGTTGTCCCGCAGGAGGAACGACTCGATAATTTTGCCATCACCGATTATGTGGAACACGTGATCGGCAGTCTGATTCATGCTTGCACAATGCTTTGATGCAGCACCGTTTCACAGTGCTTTTTTGCATGACACACCAAATTTAAATTGGATTTTATGACGCAACAGGAAAGCATCCTTTTCCTTCTTTCCACATTGGAATGTGAATTGTGTGGGACTGAAGTTATTAAACCGACGGCCATTTCATTGAGTTGCAATGTGACCTCATTTCTAAACCTTGCACAGCGGTGCCACATCCTGAAGGACGGCGGAACATAACCCTGTGCCCCTGCCTGTCCCCCAGAGCGGCGTCAGGCCTAGGATGGCGGCGGAACTTAAGCATGTAAGCCTTTCTGTTCCCAGAGCGGCGCCAGGCCCCGGACTCGGGCCCGTTCGTGCCGCGCTGCACCACCGCGGACGGCAGTGACGGCCTCTGTACGGAGCTGCGCGCCTGCCCGCCCCTCGACCACCTGCTCCGGCTCTACAAACGCAACCAGGCCGACCCATTCCAGCGGCTCCGGCTCCGGCAGGAGACGCTCAAATGCCACTTCACCGCCGCCCACGATCCGCGGGTCTGCTGCAAACTCAGCGCCATCGCGCCCGTCACGACCAAACCCCAGAAGCCGAGGCTGCCGCGCCTTCAGACGGCCGCCCCGGTCGTACTCGATCCCGTCACCCCGGCCCCGGTCACACCCGTTCCGCAGGTTCCCTTTGTCCCACCAGTGACACCGGTCCCCGATGTGATTCTGCCTCCACCAGCGACCCCCGTTCCCGATCCGATCCTGCCTCCACCTGAGACCCCCGCGCCTGTGCCCACCGCTGACCCCGCGGTAACCCCTGACCCCGTCGTGACCCCTGACCCCGCGGTGACCCCTGCCGCGCCCGTCGTCCCGAGCAAGCTGCCCGATGAGTCGGTGTGCGGTATGAGAACGTTCCTGTCACGGATTTTCGGCGGGCAGACGGCGGAGATCGGCGCGTGGCCCTGGGTGGTCTCCATCGGATACAGAGGTGAGAGTACACGGCGCTGCAGCTGATGCCTGATTGACTCCTTGCCGTGCCATTGCAAGGCTACATGCCATTCAATGATCACAGTCGAGCAGACGAGTACCTACCAACTGCATCCGTGAATATACCGATGCGCTGCCGACAAAGAAAAAGATCAACTTACACAGCTACAAGCTATATGAAAGACGTGGTGGCGCTCGAGACCTAAGACCCACAACATGTAAGCGCCTCTCGAAATAAATGCTTATTTTGGGACGGAAACGCCTCTAGTGAATTGAGTGCGCTGTAAAATCAGGATATTTGTTCATTGTCAATAGGCGAACATGGCTTATTGACGAAGCACGGTTATTATCTTTTTTTTACCGCGAAGCCCATGCATCAACCAGCCCCTCCGGCCTCCTGTCTCATGTCTGACAACGGGTCATCTCTGTTGGACAGTGTCTGGGGCCCGGGAGATCCGCTGGCAGTGCGGAGGGACGCTCATCACGTCCCATCATGTGGTGACGGCCGCCCACTGCGTTACTCAGCTCGGCACCAGCGAACCGTGAGTTGGCCATACGACAACGGACAAACCGTGAGTCGGTCACGGTAAGCCGTGAATAACGGGCACGGTGAACCATAAGCTGATTACGGCGAACCGTGAGTGTCACGGTGAGCCTTGAGCTGGTCATAAGGAGAGCCGCGAGTCGGGCACGGTAAAAAGTGAGTCACGTTGAGCCGCGAAGTGTCACGGCGAACCGTGAGTCCGTCACAGCAGACCGTGAGTTTGTGGCGGATAACCGAGCCGGTCATGCGGCTAACCGTGAGTTGGTAACGGAGCGGGAGAACCGTGATTTAGTCACGGCAAACCGAGGTTGGTAGCGGCGATCCGTGATTCGGTCACGGAGAACCGTAAGTCGGTCACGACAAACCAGGAATTTGTCATATGACGCACCGTGAGTTGGTGAGACGGAGAACCGTGAGTGTCACAGGCAGCGAGCCGTGAGTCGGTCCGGTCGCGGAGAACCGTGAACGTCAAGGTGAGCCGTAAGTCGATCATGGAGAAACGTGAGTCAGCCACGACAAGCAGTGTGTCGGTCACGGATAACCGTGAGCCGGCCATACGGCGAACCGTGAGTTGGTAACGGAGAACCATGGGTGTCACGGTGAGCCGCGTCGTGACTCGTGAGTCGGTCACGGATAACCGTGAGCCGCCCATACGGGAAACCGTGAGTCGGCGAAGGCGAACCGTGAGTTGGCCATACCATTGGTTACGGTATTAAATCAATCATTGGTGAGACGTGAAACCATAGGCGTCGCCAGAGATTTTCGGTTGGGGGGGCAAAATCAAATTTTGTGTTAAAACTTGCCTTTCCCCAGTCTTAACTCACTCGTTTTACATATCATTCAATGCGCAATGGTGCGAGGAATCCGATGGTGACAAAGGTTTTCTTCTAGCTATGACATGTAATTTTTTACAGAAAAATCGAAATATTGAAATTTCATGACAAAAACGACTAGTAGAATTATAGTATACAAAAAAAATCGAAATATTGAAATTTCATGACAAAAACGACTAGTAGAATTACTAATCGCAGCCACTAGTGTATAGTGGCTGCGATTGCCGACGCACTGCAGAGGGCCGCTGGCGGTGTGCAGACGCTCGACGCTCATAATCATTACCCAGAAAAAGGTGAAAAACGCTCCATTTAATCGGATCACCCTGCTAAAACCTCCATTCACGCATGCATGCAGAGGTTTTACGTAAAAATGTATAGGACTTATCCCAGCCGCCGATCATAGCTAAGTTGGGCATTCGGCGGAGAGTGAATGTCGGAAGTTTGAATCGGAGGTAATTCATCTTTGCTCCATGGTGAGAGGAAGTGTTTTGTTCACTCGAGTGTGAAAAAAGTTTCCCGTTTTTCGTGTGAAGGGAAGCGCTGCAAACGCGAGCAAAAACTGTTCAACGGAACCAAAAGTTACGCACAGCATAGCGGCAAGGGATCCCTTAGAGATAGGTTTGGGACTTTCAGGCCATTTCAGGTCACTCAGGGTCAGTGCTGACTGCTGACTCTCGGCAGCATGCTTAGGATCCCGGAGATCGGCGTGGGTCACCTCAAATATTTACGTGTACGTGGTGCTTTAGGGCTTTCCGAGCCCAAGGTGGGGCCCTAAGAAGCCAGTGTGGGCGGCGGGCGCTAAGAGACTAGGCCCAGGGTGAGCCTGGAGTCCTCGGATAACGTATGCACCTTCGGGGTCTGTTTCGAATCCCTAAAGACCCTACGCAGGGACATAATAAACATGTGTTGCGGACCTCAGAGGAACACGTGAGCTGTGACCCCTCAGATGCCGGCTTTGGGTTAGCAAAGTCTCAATAGTTTGGCTGAACTATCAGAGGCCAGTTAACCCCCGCCGGACCTATTGGTTTTCTACATACGCGCCGGCCGAGGGGGGGAGCGGGTACGACCCCCCCCCCCCTCGCCGTTTCGCCCCTGGTGGAGCTAGCGCGTCGCGGAAAAAACGAGCGTGTGCGCCGTTACGAGACGCAGAGATTTGTACCCGATTTTAAGGTCCTAGGTCAACCGGTGACCTCTGAGGTCAGGTCAAGTGCCCCAGGGTACGGTTCAGTTTTTGGTGAATAACTTCGCAAAAAACGGCCGCAGAGCCGCGATTTTGGCAGCATCGTGTTCGCCTCGCTCAGGCGCGTCGAATGATATACTTTTTGTTCGGGTCAGGTCAACTTAGGATGTTGACCTCAGGTCAAGGTCAGGTCAGCACCCCCAGGTCACGAAGTTGGTCGAAAGAGGTCATGTCGCATATTATTCGATTTGGCAGGTCTTCCTGAGTCCATTGGTGGCTTTCTCGACTCGCTAGCTCAATTTGGTCGGGAGTTATTGACGAAAAACTAATATGACCTTAATGACGTCATAAATGACGTCACGGAAGGTCAACATTGCACAAGTGACGCATCTAACCTTGCAAGGAGTGCATCAAATCACGATTCTGTGTGCTTGAGATAGTTGGAGATCGTTACCGGCGCCAGAAAAGCAGTTTTCATTTTTCCCCATTGACTTATAATGGTGAGGTCACGAAAATGACCTGACCTCATATGACCTTTAGGAAAAATCCGAGATATACAAGTCGTGAGACTCATAATGGATACTAGATCCTGCAAGTTTCATTTCCCTGTGACATCTCCTCTGGCAGTGAGGGCGTTGCGAAGTTGCGACATCTGAAGACCGTGCAGAGGTTCACTTATGACGTCATAGGTCAGTGACCTGACCTGACCAAAAAATGCGGTTGGTGTCAAAAGATGCGGCTTGGATCAAAGGTCAGGTATGCCAAGTTTCAGCTCTCTATCGCCAGCGTGTTCGGAGCTATCGCGAAAAAAACCTATGGGGGGGCGGCACCCGCCCCCCCCCCCCTCGGCCGGCGAGGGCTAAGGTTCTCAGAAATGTTCGAAGGCTCAAAGATCCCTGTATGGACCCTCAGAGAACATGGACACCAGTGGGACTTTCCGAGGCCGGTTTGGGCCCTCTGAAACCTTCTTTAGGGCTCAGTGGAGCTCCTTGGGAGCCTTTGTTTAAAGCAAGCTCATGAGCCCTGCGACACTTGTACGGTACTTGAGCATGTCGCAGACATTTGACGAGAGTTGAGAAAGGCCCCGAAGGTTTCGTTTCACGCTTTGAACGTAAGTTGTGTGAGCACTCCAAAACTTATGAAAATCAGTTGTAAAGTGTAATAAAGAACGAACTAGGAACATGGAACGAATCACAGCATTGACATTTCCGAGTCTCGACTCGGAGTCTTGAATATTTTGGCAACTGCGAGTCAGACTCTGGTTTGAACTGCACGCTCCAACCGAGTCTGACCTCACAGGCATTCTCAGAAAGGTACCCCCATTTTTCCCGACTCAAAAATCTCATCGGATCTGTATCGATCTCAGGGGGTGCCCGGTCCGAGGTTGGGGGGGGCAAGCTGCCCCGCTTGCCCCCCCGTGGCGACGCTAATGCGTGAAACACTGGAGTCTGGACCCATCGTGAACCGATCACGATGAATCTTAGCAAAGCGTAGCGAACGGTGAGTGGGTTGGGTCACGGCGAAACATGGTTCAGGTTGGTATCCATTGCGAAGGACTAGACATTTAGAGCTACAGTCTCATAAGATTTCTCAGAACTTACCTTGTCGGCGATCCAGTTCCAGTTCAGGCAGAATATCTCTCCCGTTGTCAACCTCAACCTGAATTTGGTTTGACGTTCGCGCGGCAACGGGCCAGCACTGGCACGCTTCTTGGTCACTAGTCTCTTTACACTAAGCTGATCGATCTGACTTTTGATCTAGGCCTACGTCCAACGACTCACTCCCACTCAACTCATTTTCGCGAAGAGCACTCCCTTCTCATGTCGTCCAACAGGAACCACTGTCCGTGAACGCATTCTGCGCAACAATTCGCAGCGCGTCCCTCAGTTCTTCAGTTTGAGTTATCGCAACGAAAACCACGCACTTTCAAGTTTGGCAACATCGCTACAAAACAGCACAATATCACACCGCGAGAACCACGAACGCTACACAAATACGTAACGCAATTCACCAACGCACAATTACCAAAATTGGCCACACTTATATGATATATCCATTTCCCCCACTCCACTCCACTCCCCTCACACTGACCGTACGAGGCGGAAGTTTACATTTGGTTTACATCGCGTCGTACTCGTACGTGTCAGTCAGCTGACTCAGAGCTCTGATTGGTCGAGAGGCCGGTACCGGCACTGGTGACTGGTCACGTGGTCCATTGTATCGCCGCGGGGCAAAGTACAAACAATAAGTACAGCTCGAGTCCAAGGTCGTATCCAACTTCCTGTAGGTCGTGGCAGTTGGTGGTGGGGGGGGGGGGGAGGGGTTTGCAATCGTTTTCACATCAAAATATTTTGACAGATTAGAAAAGCAATGGATTTTTTCAGTAGTCTCTGCTAACTCTGCACTAGCAATCCCCAATGAGATCAAATGAGAATCTGGCTATAAATAGAAGTCGTGTTTATATAAAAAGTCGATCGATTTAAATTAAAATATGAACCAGGAGGCAAACATTTTATTAAATCATACCGTTTATCAATATAAGAGCTGATCAGGGGCGGATCCAGAAAATCTCCAAGGGAGGGGCCATTAGAAACCAGGAGGCCCCCCCCCATAATCCCACCTGTTGGAGGCCCCATCTTCCCACTTGTTGGGCCCCCCCCAAAAAAAAACTGCGTCTATTGAGCTTATCTAGCTGTTCAGGCAACATCTCAACATCTGTGCAGGCTTGGAGGCCCTCTGTGCAGGTTAGGAGGCCCTGTAAAAGTGGTCATCTCTGTGAGTATAAGAGACCTCCAAGTTATGAAAAGCTTTACCAATCTTCTAACAAAGAAGTCTTCTCAGCTAGTCTTCTAAGAAATAACTAAGTGGGTAGGTTAAAAAAAAAAAAACTCATCGGATTTCGGCCACTTTATTTTCAGGAGGCCCCCTTTTCAGCTTTTTAACTTTTTAACTTTTTATTTTATTTTGGAAAAAAATCGGCCAAGGGGGGGGGGCATGGCCCCCATGCCCCCCCCTTGTATCCGCGCCTGGAGCTGATAGCATCGGTCGATCCATATTGCTGAGCCACTTCATCTATGGCGGACGACTGACGGCTACGTCCTACGGCGTCTGTACCGTTTCAGTCTGGTGGTCCGTCTCGGCGAGCTGGACTTCAACACCGATCCCGACTGTCTGCCGTTCAACCGGAGTCACTGCGCCGACCGGTTCAGGGACATCCGTATCGAGAGCACCCGGCCCCACGAGCTCTACAAGGTGCGTGAAACGGATCGCTTGCCGCTGGTACCAACATAAAGCACTAATCTACGGTCCGGCGCGGCGTCGTGATTTGAACGTGATTTCGTGATAAATCGTTAATTTAATTTCATGGAGGTCTAAAATTCATGCATTTCTACTTCGGCTTTACAGCAACCCACAAATTGTAACAGCCTGACCCCTGCTCATAAGCGAACTGAACCGCACCCGCCACCATGCGCTGACACCGAACGCAAAACCAAAAGCTATTGAGATCAAGGAGAGACAAACCTGACAGTGACCCCTAACACCACTCCGACACCCTCGCAGGGCCGTTTCGGGAACGCCCTGGAGCACGACATAGCCGTGATCCGCCTGGCTCGCTCTGCTGAACCGTTCACCGACTTCGTCCGCCCGGTCTGTCTGCCCGTCGACCTGGCCCGACTGCGGGGAGGTGCCGACGACACCATTGGAAGTCGCGTCTTCATCACCGGCTGGGGACGGTCAGCGAACTCCTGTAAGTGGCTGGGGACGGTTAAAGAACTCCTGTGGGTGGCTGGGGACGATTAGCGAACTCCTGTGAGTGGCTGGGGACGGTCTGTGGACTCTTGAGAGTGGCTGGGGCTAATTAGCAGTATGTGCTGGTCAGAGAGCTCCAGCAAATCGCTGTAAATGTTTAAATAACTGAGTGACTATGGAGTATGGATGAGTAAGAGTGACTAGGAACGACTGAAAGGTTTGTGATTGGCCATGGCGACAGCCTTGAACGTCTGAGGACGAAGCAACAAGCGAGTGACATCCTAACCCTCACAGTTGTGACAACCGTGTCCTGTCGCCGACAGCGGAGAGCTTCACCCCGGAGCTGCAGGAGGCCAGCATCCGTATAGTGGCGCCGGAGAGGTGTGAGAACACCTACAGACGCAGCCTGACGGCCGCCTTCGGGAGCCGCCTGTGCGCCGGCGAGGGTACTGGCGTAGACACCTGCCGGGGCGACTCCGGTGGCCCGCTGATGACGCACAGTGAGTGAGAGAACGGGCTTTTTTTGTCAAGGGAAAAGTGGGAGGAGTGGGAAGTGAGGAAGGCAGAGGCCGCTAAGCTTCTCTGCCCCCTCCCCCTTGCCTTCAGCCAGTCTCCAGTCTCCACTGCTCCGCCAGAATGGCCACTCGAGCCGCTACGACTCCTGACCGGTGTATGACTGACCCTCAGGCCGTCGGCACTCAATGGTACCTGGTTAGAGTGTCTGACTACTAACTGATGTCTGACACGCAGGCCCTCACTGCACTTACTGGTACCTGGTCGGAGTGTCTGACCGGTGTGTGACTGACCCTCAGCCCCCACGGCACTCACTGAGGTCCGGTCGGAGTGTCGTGATCGTGACTACTGACTGATGTCTGACCTGCAGACCCCCCACGGCACTCAGACTCCCACGGCACTCACTGGTACCTGGTGAGAGTGTCTGACAACTGACCGGTGTGTGACTGACCCGCAGGCCCTCACGGCACTCATTGGTACCTGGTCGGAGTGACGTCGTTCGGCACTCACACCTGCGGAATCAGGGAGGCCGTCTACACCCGCGTCAGGGACTACGTCGAATGGATAGAAAAGCAGCTGTGATCATCACCGAAGTAGCCGTGATGTGCCACTGGAACAGCTGTGAGCCGTCGCCCGCCCTGTGGGTCGGAGGCAGGCAGGGTCACCACGAGCGACATCTAGGACAATGAGCAACAACCTACGAGCTACTAGCGTCAGGCTGCAAGCCGAGGCGTGTCCCGGGACTTTGTTCGAGTAAGGGTTGTCGAGTAGGGAAATTTCCAAGTCTCGCCGGTTCATGGCATTGCGTAGTGGCGATATGAACCTCCCAGCGTTAAATAAGCTGGGCGAAGTGAGATTATTGGTGAAATGACTGACGAAACGGTGAAAACGGCATTATCTGAGACGGTAGATGTCGTCATGTCGGGAGACTAGTGATGTGTTGCACCCGAATTTATACCGTAGCATTATTGTGTACCATACATTATCCGTCGGAGCGGTATTAACCGAACCAAATAAAATAATGACCGGGTAACAGTATTTGGTTTGAGTCTGTGACTGACGCGAACGGCAGTGTTAGCGATAAACAATGAGACAATAAGTGAAACAACATCCATTACATCACTCATTTGTGGAGGTGCGAGCATGTCAGTATCATGTCTAGCCCCGCAGTTTCTATACGCTTACGTTTCCAGGTTCCACAGCCAGGTGCAGCCTGCAACCATCATAGAACCACGGACAACATTAAAGTCATGCATCATACGGCAGCTTCCATTGTATTTGACTGGCATGGAGGACAGTTCTGCTGAAGTATACGCAATATACGGGAACATTTCACACAAGGAAACCACTTCTGACTAACCCGCGTATCACTTACACGTTCGCACTCGTTCATTCACGAACATACCCTCATGCCCTTTAGCGCGGGCGCGAAGACCACCGTCCGGTAGGTGGCGCTGCTAATTCAAATTGCCACAAATAGGTGGCACTAGTGTAGCGCCCGCGGCGTCCACAGTTCCGAACCACCGTTCCACTCATAACAGCCGCGGCGGTCGGACGCACGCTCATCATCCACTAGGTCCACTGTCAGAGAGTGCATTTATCCCTGTGTTGTCGCGCTCTTGAGTTCCAGTGTCCAGTTGGCCGCCATCTTGGGGGAAGGGGAACAGCGGGGAGGGGCGCACAGAGACACACAGACACTGTATACGTTCGCACGAACGCAGACACACGCAGTTCGTGCCGGCAACAGACATCGGCGGCTAGCCCGCCGGCCTCAGTGTCGAGGCCATCCGATTAAAACTACACATGATTCAGACAAACAAAACCGGTCGCCGAGCCAACATGGGGCGGGAGCGGGGCCGAGGGAGGGGAGGGGAGGCGGGTCTGGCATCCAGACACGCCACCGTCCGTCGAGCGGCGAGTTCATTCGCACCGCCCCGGCCCGGACGATACCGCACCGCGCCAGCTCACCGCGCTCCCAGCACAAACCGCCCCCGCCGTGGAGCAAGTTTATCACAGGCCGACGACAGCGCCACCTATACCAAAGCCCGCCGCGCCACCTATAGCGGCGGGTGGCGCCACCTATCGCGGCGAGTCCTGGTAGCTGAAGGCGGTGAAGTAAGAGGCGGGCTCCTCCGTGATGGCGTCCAGCGGCGCGTTCTCCGGAGGGGTGAGCTCCACCGATTCGCCGGTGAACTCGGAGTCAAAGTACCGCGTATCGGTCTCACTTTCCACTTGGGGCTTGAACGGTGGGGTGATCTGGCGGAGAGACAGTGTCAGGCCAGGTGCAAGCGTATAGCAAAACGGTGGCAATCGGCGAGGTCGTCAGGACGTGATCAAGCCGTAGTTGACTGTTGAGCATGTCTTGGACAACCAGATAATAATATAAAAGTGCGCGAGCACATCTCACTTCGCTCTTGAGCCAGTCTCCCGAAAGAACTCCGAATTACTCCGCTTGTAATTCATAAGCAAGACAATCATACGAGCTGTTAGTCCACATGGAGTTCGCCAGGCCGATTGTTTTACATCAACAAAAAAATAAATCATCACATTCCTCTGAATCAAACTAACAAAAGCTTAACACCTTTTTCGTAACGCAAGTCAATGCCCATCTTCCCCCTCAGTGCCCAACTACCCAGCCCGCGGCCAGTCCTCACCTTTTTCGCCTCGAGGTCCTCCCAGTTGATGGGCGAGAAGAAGGGGTGCTCCTTGATCTCCTCGGCGTCTCGCGGGCCGCCGCCGAGCCGCCGCGCCGGGTCCTTCTGAAGCAGGCCCTGCAGTAGCGACTGGGCCATGTCGCTCAGCGACAGAGGGAACCGCACCTGGTGAAAAGAGGGGGGACAGAGTCAGTATGGGGACGGGCGGGGGTCGGTCATCATGGGAGAGAAAAGCGTGGGGAGGACATAGCAGAAGTGTGCGGGAGCTGTTGAAGCGTGTTTCGTCAAAGGGAGGGTAATTTATTCATACTAAAAACACGAAAACACAAATATGACGCAAAACAACGGATCAGATTAATCTCCTATTCGCTGTCACCCGCCCCTCTGAAAAGACGGTATTAATCATTCTCCTGCTACCCGGGTCACCATACATTCCACACCAGCATCCCTCTCCCTCATCTCCGCTTCCCTCCCATTCCCTCATCCACTCAATTACCTGTTCGACGAGAATGAGCTCGAAGAGCCGCTCGTGGTCGCGGTTGTAGAAGGGCAGCCGGCCCACCATCATCTCGTACATGACGACGCCGATGCCCCACCAGTCCACTGCTCGACCGTAGTAGTTGTCCTCCAACACCTGCGGAAGAAGTGACGGTCAGCAAAGGAGGGGATGCGACATCAGTTTACACATAGCTTGATGGTGATGATGAAGTTCTAGGGGCGCTCGGTCATTGCAATGGCAATGGTGTCCCGGCAGAGCTTGATTTGGGGACCGTTTATGCTGATATTGGAATAGTCAGGCGCTGAAATCAAACACGAGATATTCATTGGAAGCAACATAGGCCAGAGCGACGCGGTGGCCAACAAACGGTGACACAGACAGCAGAATGAAGCCAGGGTTTGACAATAATTCATGTGGGGATCCGTGCGGTGTATGACAGGGGTGTACTCAAAATACGACGATTGCGCTAAAAGTCGGTCAACAGCAGCAAAATACAGCGTTGTACAGAGCGTTGACTGTTAGTTGACCCTTGTGAGAAGATGTAGGTTACAAGGCGACCAGCAACTAGGCTGTGTTTATACGACTCGTCAAAATGGAATTTGTATGCATATGGAATGCATACAGCCCAGTGTTTCGTCATAACGAATCAGTGTTAATTGAATTTCCAGCATAAATAACAGAACCAACAACCAGTGGTCGCCAGTTCGGCCAGCCTCCTAAATTAATAGAGACCTGATAAAATGCAACAAGAAATGAATACTATTTTATAAGCACCACAGCAATTTCCTGCTGTTAACAGTGCACCCCACCTGCCACCACATAATAATAATCCATCAAAAAACATTCAAAAAGCACAAGGCAAATTTAGCACATAGAGAAGGACACCACACAGCCCTTGAGGTTGCAAACTCCCACCAGCCACCCCAGCTACCGCCCGCGTCATTCGCCAGTTCCACTACCAGTCTCGCCAGTCCCGCTACCCTTGTTGCCAGTCTATGTAGACGCCGCCCCCACCGCCCCTGCCGGGCCCCTGGTCGTCTCGGGAGTTGAACCGCTACCCGTGATACAAACAGTGCCAGCTGCGGGAGCGTGGTAGTGCCACGACGGGAGGCCTCCCGACAGCCACTGCGGCCCACAGCAGGCCCAGCCAGTCGCCGAGTGGCAGTCGCGGAGTGGTCGTAGGCTCTGTACAACGAGCGGTCCATGGAAGCCGAGAGGCTGATTTAGGGTAATGCCAAAGGACCTCAGCCATCCAAATGAAATAACGGATCTCAGATCTTGAATCATACGCTCTCATGATAACAATATTGGAAAGAGAATACACTCAGGACATCAAAGGGAACACCAAGCCTATTTCAAGACATCGCTTAAAAAGTCCAGTAAATTGCATTGGGATACTAGAGCCAGTCCAAACAACTTCCAATGACCCAGAGTATCACAGAGGGCAAGCCTACGTCATAAATCACGTCTTCCAGTGCTGGTCAACGTCCCACTTTTAGTGCCCGCCCCAGCGCTATGCGCACACCGATCTAGTGTAACTGGCAATGTCACAGCCCACGAGCACGACAGGACCCACTCACCGCTGGTTGACCAGCAGTTTCCGTATTGCGCCAACAACGCCCCCTGAGGTGCTCCCATGGCAATGCATACTTCGCTCCTGTAGTCTGGTTGGTTAGGTTCGGGGATAGAAGAGACAGTGGCCTCCTCCTTTCGCTCGTGCGGTACAAGGAACAAGACCACGCCCATTTCCGAGCCAGCTCTCTCTACCTGCTGTGAGATTCCGGAGCAGTCTCCCTCAAAGAGGACACCTCATGTCGCGATGGGCGTTACCAGCCCTCAGATCTCGGTCCATTCCACGATCTAAAGCCCTGTGAGGCGTCCGCTTCCCTGGTAGAGCAGCCGCCTCCCTCAGTTGAAGCTCGGCAGCCGCGGAAGAATCCCTCGGCGCCCGACGACAGAGCTATTATAAGGAGGAGTTCGGCGAACAGCCCGGAACTGGTGCACCGAGACGGGTGGGCGGCGGCAACTTAGTAGCTCGGAGAGAGCCTGGCGGCGGTAACTGGGCAGCTCAGAGAGAGTCTGGGCGGAGGTGTCTGACGAGTTTGGAGAGAAGGGAAGTAGGGTAGGAGTGGGAAAGACTAATACTTGGGAGGAATGACTTCAGGGCCTGCAGCAGCGTATATTTTGGAAACAGGAGAATATGGAATCGCGATAGAAGTCGTGGAGAATACATTAATGCGTTGCATTCAGCAGGGAGTCTACATGTGAGGACAGGTTGAGTTTGGTCATCTCTGTGAGACACCAACTCTGAGATGACAGCAATAACTTCGAATAGGCCTGATTGTGCACTCAGAGTGGTCTGGGCCTGTCACTGTCGGAGGCGACAAAGTCAGATAGATGTCACTTCATCCCGTACCAAATAGCTTTACTAGCTGCCCAGGCCCTATATCTAGCTGCTTTGCCTGCCGCGTTGACGGTCATCTGTTCAGCCCACAGAGCGCCGCCGGCGGCGGTGGCTGGAGCCGGGGTCTGTCGGTGATTTCCCCAGGGATCCCAGCGGCTGTCGCTGCCACCCGATCCCTACTCCATCCATATTTAGACCGCCAGGTATAAGGTATGAATGCAAGATCACAAAATCAGGTATCAATGCCACTGTCAATCACCGAGCCCGATATAAACACAGACGTCAATATGGATGTTGAATGCTGAATGCTAGCACTGGTACAATATCTAAATAGCGACACTGAGACAACGCTGACACTGAGACTAGCACTAACCGTAATTTGCCCCAGCCCGCATCCATCCCCCGCACAGCACGGATACTGATACAGACACTAACGCCGACTACACAGTACACAGTCTTCCCAGGCCCGCCCCGGCCACATACAAACCTCCGTAATAACAACCAAACTGACACTGACCTCACCGGTGTCCCGTCCGTGACCTGACCTCACCCATACTGACCTCTGGCGCCAGGTACTCCGGTGTGCCGCAGAACGTCTTGGTCGTCGTGTCATCGACAATGTTCTCCTTGCAGAGACCGAAGTCGGCGATCTTGACGTGACCGTCCTTGTCCAGGAGCAAGTTTTCCAACTGAAAGAAGAAAAAAGAGGTCAGTATCAGGTCCTCAAATTGACAGAAGGCAAACAGGTCAGTAGGTTCTTCAACCGCCAAAAAGCAACTGGTATGACAATCAGAAAAACAGAAGAGTAAGAAAGGATAGCGGCATGTAAGCCAACCGAAAAAAAAACACAGGTCAGCCAGGTTCACCATCTAGCAAAACACACAGGCCATCAGCAGGTTTTCAAAGCGTGTGCACACCACTGCGGACGCGTCATCCGGCATTCACATGTTGACGTTGGATAGCTGACGTCAGAACAGGAAAATGGCACCGGAGAATGGAGTGAATGTTGACCACGGGCAAAGGCACGCACAGAAGTCAACTGGCCATTATATAACCAGTCACATTAGGGAACGATAAGCAACAGTAAACGGATACCATTGGTGAACGCTTCTGATAAAATCTCAAACAGAAATGCCCTGAAATGGATACGTGCGGGAAATAGGCAATGTTGGGTTACCATAAATATACAGAAATACAGTACCAACAATAAAAATAATCGAAAGACAAACAACAACCGTTATATTACAGGAAAATATCCGTAATAAAATGCTTCCATCAGCGCCCCAGTCGTTTTTCACCTAGCAGTGCACTGTCCTTGCACAAGGACGCGTATGACGACCCCGCGACGTCTCCCGTGCCGATGCACTTAACGAATTCATTCCTCTTGGCATCACGACCATCCCACGTGGCTCTTCTCCCCAGCTGCTCCCGCCTACGACACTGGACGGGAAGACCATTACCAACCCCTACCCGACCCACGGTTTTCATCTGCATAGTCGCCAAGTCATCATGAGTCTGTCATTGGGACAGACATTCACCGCTGACCAGTGTACTAAAATCATATTTTTGCTTGGGTGTCAGAGGGGAAAATTGCTGACCAAAAAAAGGATGAGAGTGAAAATTGTCGGTCAGGTAAGGCCCAAAAAGAGTGGGAAAATGATCAAAAACATTAATCTATCTACAATTGTGACAGATGTAAAACAACCATTCCCGCAATTGCTCCTTCTCGGTGGGATTGGGAGTGGAAAATTGGGCTTGAAAACTGGAGGTGAGAGTGGAAAATGATTTGCATTTCGATGTCGTTTCCCACCCACATCTACAAATTTTGGGACACTGCCGCTGACTAGTATCTCACCAGAGGTTGCGCGGTAGCACACATCCAGACCTTCTTCCCGCTTCTCTGAGACCGATTTAGACGCCCCGCGACAGGGGTTAATCAGGATATTATGCGTCGTCACGAGCCGACACCACTACCGAAGCCCGGTGCCGGTAGCAGCCCAGTCGGTTCGGGTTGGTAACGATGGGACGGGTACGCTTTTAGCGATCGCAGCGATCTTCGTTGAACATTTCTGATTCTAGGATAGACGTCACATTACGGCCATGACGGGAACCGACAGGCCGGCTGCCTAGACAGACTAATGACGCGACAACTATAAAATCCGTCATCTACCGACATTACGTAAATGCCATTAGTACCTACATCATCACGGTGAGCTAATGCTCGAACAACACAGCACTCTGAGCCGGGCCTTTGACCCAGCGGACTGCAGTCACAGCGGCTCGGTCGCACGGCTTTGATACGCCACGGGGACTCCCAACACTCAGTATTGAGCGGGTTGATGCAGGCAGGCCTCGCTCGGAAGCCGGAGCTTCTAGTTGGAATGTATTATCGTTAATCAGCTTCATTAGTTTCGACACCAGAAAACGGGCACGGCCTGACAAAACCCGCAGGACCAGCACAAAGCTGCTGCTACTGCTGCTGTGCGGCTGTGGCGGCGGTAGCGATTGCAGTTGGCAGTCAATGAGTGAGAGTTGGACTCTAAATACCATTAGACCCCAACTGAGGGAGAGGTGAGGAAAGTGACGAAAGGGCTGTGGCAACGGGATAGAACAGCGCAGGGAAAGGATCAGCCAGGACAGGGGCAGGGCAGGACATTTAGGGTTTCCTGCTCTGATAGTTTGGGACGCGTCGGTGAGTAGCGTCCCGCCCCGTGCCGTGCCACCGGCCGCCCGCACTGTCCCGCAGCACCATCTCGTGCCGTCCCCGTGCCACTGGCCGCCTGTACTGTCCCGCAGCACCATCTCGTGCCGTCCCCGTGCCACTGGCCGCCTGTACTGTCCCGCAGCACCATCTCGTGCCGTCCCCGTGCCGCTGGCCGCCCGCACTGTCCCGCAGCACCATCTCGTGCCGTCCCCGTGCCGCCGGCCGCCTGTACCGTCCCGCAGCACCATCTCGTGCCGTCCCGTGCCGCCGGCCGCCCGCACTGTCCCGCAGCACCATCTCGTGCCGTCCCCGTGCCGCCCGCACTGTCCCGCAGCACCATCTCGTGCCGTCCCCGTGCCGCCGGCCGCCTGTACCGTCCCGCAGCACCATCTCGTGCCGTCCCCGTGCCGCTGGCCGCCCGCACTGTCCCGCAGCACCATCTCGTGCCGTCCCCGTGCCGCCGGCCGCCTGTACCGTCCCGCAGCACCATCTCGTGCCGTCCCGTGCCGCCGGCCGCCCGCACTGTCCCGCAGCACCATCTCGTGCCGTCCCCGTGCCGCCCGCACTGTCCCGCAGCACCATCTCGTGCCGTCCCCGTGCCGCCGGCCGCCTGTACCGTCCCGCAGCACCATCTCGTGCCGTCCACGTGCCGCTGGCCGCCCGCACTGTCCCGCAGCACCATCTCGTGCCGTCCCCGTGCCGCTGGCCGCCCGCACTGTCCCGCAGCACCATCTCGTGCCGTCCCCGTGCCGCCGGCCGCCTGTACTGTCCCGCAGCACCATCTCGTGCCGTCCCGTGCCGCCGGCCGCCCGCACTGTCCCGCAGCACCATCTCGTGCCGTCCCCGTGCCGCCGGCCGCCAGCGCAGTGCCACCGCCGGGTGACCGGCACCCGATCGATCCACCTGGCTTCAATCGCCACCGACCGCCGGCCGAAGCCTCCGCCCGCCGCTGTCCGCAGCCGGCCAGACAAACCCGGCTGTCACCCGGCTAAAGTCGACCAGACTAACTGCTCTTAACTGGGCAGAACAGCCATCGCTTCTGACCAGCGCAGACACGGTGGGAAACCACAGCCAGAGTAGTGAGAATTGGTGAGTCCGAGGTAGGTCTACCGCCCAAAAACAATCACAGATGCCGACCGATCGCTGACTGCATTTTGCTGCAATCATAGCGAGATGCGCCACCAAATATGATTGGACTACTGTACTGATCATTGTTCACAGTTTGCGACACATAATCCCCGTCCCACTGGAACCGTGACTTCCTCATAACGAGGCAATAATTTCATTGCCTCAAACCAGGAAACAGCACCAATCAATGAGACGCATTACATCTCAGAAAGTTCATCACTCGTCAAGGTCAGTCGACTATTATCCCTTATTGCTACCTAACACCCAACTAACAGACAGAACTGAGGACAGGACAGTGGTCACTGATCTCCCCAGCCATAAGACGGGCGCGATGCCAGGCCACAGCCGCTAGTGACAGGGAATAGGACAAAACCCGCATGAATATGTAGCGATCGGATTGGATAACTAATTCCGTGGTGGCTGGCAACGATTATGGCTCCTGGTGATGGTCAGTGGAGGCATCGGATGGCGGAGAGCGTTGCTGATGGACTAAGGGACAATAACACAAGGCTAGTAATGGCGAGCCCTGCTCTGAGAATGTTGGAAGTCTGTTGAGCCTGAGTCTGCTAGAATTCCGCAGCTAGTCTACCAGTTTGTCTTTAATTAGCATGCAGCCACACTTATCACTCATTTGTTTGATGCCCGAAATGGGTGCGCACAAACTCTCGTTGCTGTAACTAAAATGGCAGCCGTCATGGAGCACACTGATTCAACTTTCAATTAATAGAGCTGAGGCTCCCCTGGCAACAGCCCCTCCCGTCTCGTTCCGCATTTGTTTCATGCCTCCCACTTTCTATGCCTCCCACTTAGTCTCGTCCCCGTCTGCCTGCCGTTATACCTCTGCCCCTGCCCTCCCTAGTCTCGAACATCCGATCTCGGTATCATTCTTCCCTTCATCCTAATGTCTCAATGAAGCTCCGTCTCACACCTCCTACCTTGATATCCCGGTAGATGATGCCGTTCTTGTGCATGTAGGCCAGCGCCGAGATGATTTCCGCGCCGTAGAAGCGCGTCCGCTCCTCGGAGAACTTTCGTTCCCGGTTCAGGTGGAAGAACAGCTCCCCGCCGTTCACGTACTCGAGCACAAAGCAGAGCCGGTCCGGCGTCCGGAACGAATATTTGAGTGACTGAAAAGGGGCACAGGAAATGGTTAACGCGGGCGGTAGGGTGGGGGAGGTTAGAGGTATATCAGTATTTCAGCGGTCTGTGGGGGCGAAACAGGAGCGATGGGGAGCTGCTATACATATATTCTGGCAGAGGTTGGCGATATTCAGTGCTAAAGGCAGTTACTGTTGGTGAATGTTTGGATCTGCATAGTGCATATGACAGTTAACATGCTTGAAATGAAGTTGCGACATGCCGTTTTGAAAAAAAAAAACAGCTTGAGATTGACCACAAGCATATTCATAAATGTTTGCTATAACGAACTCACGAATGTCAGAACTGAAATAAGAAAGATCATCTGCTCTTCCCCAGCTTTTAATCAGAAGGCTGGAATAAAACAGTTATACTCAACAACCTCGCTCCGACATCCCGCTCGAAAAGATAGCTACTGGTTACCACAAACCCCATTTCCTCTGCCACCGAGACCAAAGACAATTGCCACTGCTGGATTCAGACAGCACGGCGACCCAATTTCGGACTGCAATCTCGTTACCGGTCGTACCGTCTGACACTGCACTCGACTGAGTCGGGAGCGGAACTCCACTCCGGCCCGGCAATCACCATGGTAACTTGTCACCCGGACCACAGAACAGAATCCATTGATCTACCGCCCGCAGTGGCACGCCCAAACACTTACATCGGCGCAAACAAGCCGAACTGGCGGATATCCCTATACTGTGTAAGGATGAAACGCTCAATGTGGAAACATAAACGGATCTCAGCCCGGCGACTGCGGAACGAGAGCGAAGAGCGGACTGGATGAGGATGGCACGAGATGGGAGGGACGGGAAATGCGATCGGACTTACACACAACCCTTCCAACTACTGTGAACAAAGTTCAGAATAACCCAGCTGCCTCATCACATCTTTCGAAGATTCCTCTCCCATAACGACTATTGAGACATCCGGTAAAAGCGGGACTGTGATTCGACTTTCCAAATCCACACCTCCCACCATCACAACTAGAGATGTCAATCGGATACCAACTTTTTGGTATACCGATACCAAACCGATACCAACTTGGTATTTGGTATTTCAATCCTAATATGTTTGGTATTGTGTTGGTATCATGAACCCTCGCTAATGTTTAAGAGGCTAAGAAATCGGTAAAAAGTTGGTATTTTCCTCATGTTCCTAAGTTGGTTTGGTTTCGGTATTTCTCCACGGTTTTGGTTGGTATTTGGTTTGGTATCGGTATTCCGATTTTCCATAATTGACATCACTAATTACAACCGTCGGGCCTGTTCTCTCCGTTCTCCACGGCTCACCAGCCCTGAGGATGGGATGGTTGGTGAGGATAGGCTGTTCTCACCGTTTGGATGGGATGGCTGTAGTACCCGGCCTGTTCTCACCGTAAGGAAGGGGGTGGCGCTAGTACCCAGTTCTCACCGTTAGGAAGGTTTTTTTTTTGAATTTTGCTCCCGACAGGCCGAGGCCCTGGTCGGGGTAGGGGAAGTTACTAGCTTGCAATTAGCCAGATCTTCCGTTTTACTTTACTTTAATGCCGGCTATGTTATTCCGGCCCAAGGCAATATCAAGAGCAAAGTTTACGTTAGACCGGCTCATGTGACGTCCGGTGGGAGCAAGTGCAAGGGAAAGCCAGAAAGGGTGCCAGAGTGGCAGTGCCGAGAGGGATTTTGAGTACTTACATTTCTTGCTGCTGAATCTTGATGCTGAAATGTGGTAGTGTTGTAATGTGTGCTGTTGTTGTGTTGTGAGTTCCACCAGGAAAGTCCTAACTAGAAAAACCTGGTGCCTTAGGAAGGGGTGACTTTGCACTGCAGTAACCTGAGTTCTCACCGTTAGGAAGGGGTGACTGGTGCGCTGTAGTACCCTGAGTTCTCACCGTTAGGAAAGGGTGACTGGTGCGCTGTAGTACCCTGAGTTCTCACCGTAAGGAAGGGGTGACTGGTGCGCTGTAGTACCCTGAGTTCTCACCGTAAGGAAGGGGTGACTGGTGCGCTGTAGTACCCTGTTCTCCGTCTGCGTGTGCGTCACCTCGTCCTTGGCAATGATGACGTCCTTCCGTAACACCTTGATGGCGTACAGATGGCCGGTGCATTTTTCTCGGCACAGGATCACCTTGCCGAACGTGCCCTTCCCGAGCACCTTCAGGAACTCGAAATTGTCGAACGTCTGTAGAAGGAAGACATAAACACGGGTGAGATTAATAATGCAGAGAGTTTACGATGGGGCCTGTGACGTAAGCACTAGGCAGGGTCACAGAGTGAGTCTGACAGTTTAGCAAACCCAAGTCGCCAGTTGCACATATTTATCGTATAAAGTTGCTACAATGCGTGGGGCATGGAAATTCAGCGAGTGATTTTACAAACATTCGCGGTGTGTTATGCTGCCTGATGAACCAAATTTGATCAAAACATCAACAGTTCCCGAAATGGAATTTCCATTTACAAAAGCTCTTCAGCCTACCCTCCCAAGCTGAATATGTCCTACTCAACTGCCGAAATCATTCCTCCCTCATCGACCCGACCCCAATAGCTCCCACCTCTGTCCCCGAGCGAGCCCCCTCCCCACCATCACCGCCACGCACCACTTTCTTCTTTCCCGAGTGTTTGCTCTGAGTGGTGGACATTGCTCGGAACTTGGCCGAGAAGTCATCCTCCTCTGCCACGCGTCCCATCTCGACGTCACCGCCGCCCCGATCGTCATCCGCCAGCTTGTTGATGACGTATGAGATCGCCTGCGTCCACTCGTCCCTGCGGAATGACGGGGGGGGGGGGGGAGGGTGTAAGTTATAGAAATAGGGACGATGAAGACAGGGGGGAGGTGTAGGGGATGCAGGGTTTTCAGAATAGGGGAGATGAGCACTGAGCAGCATTACGGGGAGAGACGTTGGAAGGAGTGTAGCATTCAGGGAAGGATGGGTGGGGGAAGCAGACGTTGGATGAGTACACTGGTACAGGGAAGGGGTGCGCGGAGGGGGAATATGTCACAGAGCGGGACAAACAAGGGGGAGTGGCACATGTCTCCGATGGAACACGAGGACAGAAAACACACATCTGTATACAGAGCTCGACATGGTGTGTGGCGCATGTCCGAGTCTAGAACTGCCAGCTGAGCGGGCAAATTGTTTGAAGGTCGGAACCAGATCATCCAGAGCAGGTTAGGCAAGAGCCAGACTCTTACAGATCAGAGCCACAGACACAGACCGACCAGACCAAACAAAGATACAGACGGAACAAAGCAGACCAAACAGATAGACTGTGGTGTCTCACTTCGTCCTGAGGCATCAACACATATGCACCTTTCCTTAGTCTCTATCCCTGCACGACTCCAGCAGCACACGGCTCTCCTCAACTTAAACACCCTGTGGCCAGTGAGCACGCATACCTTTCTTTGTCCGATTGTACGTGGAAGTTGCGCTCGATGACCGACATGAACTGGAGACCCCGGATGCTAAACGCGTGAGGCTTGGGTCGGTCCGAAACCATCACCTGCGGGTAAACAGAGGGCCACATCAGTCGTCAGGTCACATCAGTCACACATTCGCACAGGTGTGGGCAAGAGAATACGGGGTATGAGGTCAGGTTACATTAGTTACCATTCTGCTGGAAAAGGTCCATTTTTTCCATCAAGGTACCATTTTTTCCATGAAGGTACATCATTCATTCTTCTGCAGTGATACCCACAAGCGGAAGCAAGACAGGATATCAGCAGTCACAGTCATCATCCCACCGGGGCATTGCACGATGGCAACGAAACGGCCACCATTTCACCAATTCACCAAACGGTCATCAGTCACCAATTCCAGAGTCATCATTCAGTAGGGCAGTCAAAATAGGCAGTCATTCGCCAAAACTACAGAAGTGAAGACTCAATACTTATTTGTTTAACTGACAGCCTATCCGAAAGTGCGCAGTGCATCAAAACAATTCCAACAGTTCAGCACACATCAGGCAGAGTTTCCAGGAAGTCTCAAGATGCACGCCACTGACTCAGCAGATGCAGTGGTGTCTCGTAGCGCTGTGAGGCGCAGTAAGGCATGGTATGCCATCGAATATGCTCAGTCACCAGTGGCATGGCCGGATCGTTACATAATGACCAGTGTAAAGCAAGATAGCTCCATCGTTTTAGCCAATGATGGGCAGCGCAGAGGGAGAGAGACAAAGAAGGAGATAATCACTACGTTTCCATGACACGTTTAATCGATTAAGCGAAATTTCACGTGCGTTTTTCTCGGAAACTATTTACCTTATGCAAAAAAATGAGCGTATATATGGTTTTAGCTATAGTTCGTTTTTTTTTTTCAAAAGGACGCTGGCTCCAAGTATGTTTTTCGAACAAGCACGTGTTTTAGCCGCCAAAACGAGCAAAAACTGAACCTGAGAAAATCGAACGTCGACTAATTTTAACATGTGATTTCTTCCCGATAATTTTCATATGTGCGTTTTGGAACCAGATATGGGAACAGTGGTGACGTCATGCTGTCAAACATGTATTGCAATGTAACGTATAACTATCATGGACGGAACCGCTTACTCGATTATGCTCGGCAACAGTGAAAAACTAATTTTCTCCCAACTTCGTTGACACTTGTCCCATTGCACGGACATTTGGGTGCCCGCTGCCACCAGTGACGTCATCATAGTATGATCATTTTTAAGAAACAATTTCCAGCTACTTACCGTGCACAATTTGAAATCGATTATTTTTTCGGTAAGAAATTCTTGGCCAGACACTGAAGCTGCCAAAACTCACGTGAGAGTTTCGATATTGCACTTTGAGCCAGCGTCCTTTTGAAAAAAAAACGAACTATAGCACCTAATCCTATATGTATTTACATTTTTACATTATGCCTAAATGCTATGATGGAGCAAATCCATTTTTCAAAATCGGCTTAACTTGTGCCATGGAAACGTAGTCATAATGGGAGAGGAGCCGGCCAAGTGGAGCCATGCATACTGCACACTGCACAGTGATGGGATGTCAAATGAGGGGCCGCGCAAGGCAGAATTGGATTTGGTGTAACGCAGGGTGAATCATGATGCTAATCTATAAAATGGTTTTTATTCATATCATCACGTTTCCAAATTCCAAACATTCTGCAAAGCTCGCAATATGCACTGAAGAACGTACTGCAATAACTCGAAAAATGTCGTTTTTAGCTGAGCAAAGACTATCGAGCAGGCTAATAACAACAGGTTCCTGGGAACGACACATAATTTCCATGCGGTCACCCGTACCCCCGTAACCCTCTCCTATGACCTATGTTCCTCTCCTCCCATACGCCTCGCAGCAGCCCTCCCTTTTCGCCCAAAGCACACCCCACTGGCGCCTCTCGCCCGCGCCCGCACCGCACCCCATCGGCCGCCCTTCCCCAGCATATGACATACGAGACCGAGCGACCCCACATTGCAGACGGTCATGGAGGGAGCCCGAGCCACGCGATGGGGTCTGAGCGGGGTGGGAGCCCTCCGTCCAGGCAGGGTTGGTTGTCCGTGAAGTCCAAGGGCGGCAGGGAAGTCGCTCGGTCGGTGGGGCAGCCTGTCAGGGGGCGGTGGGGAGGGGATGACTGAGCACAGGCGACCGGCCGTCGGTTTGGCCAGGACGGGGTGGGCCCCTCCCCCCCCTCCCCCGAGGGGGGATGGTGGGGTAGGACGGCCGGCCGACGGCCAAGACCAGCCCTCCGTCCCCGGTCGGCCCTGCTGGCCGGTCAGTTGAGCAGACGTCACTGGATAAACACAAACACAGGCGTGTCAGAAGGCTGGGATCTTAGATAGGTTTGAGTAATCCCTACCCTGACTACCTCTTTCCATCCTCCAATGGCCACCTCTCCCCACATCTAGCAATGTTACACTCCCCGCAATTGATTCACGCCGTGACGAGCAGCGGGAGCCCCAGGTTCCCCCAGCACACCTGTGGCAGTGTGTGGCCATCACATACGTGTCCTGGGCCTCGCTTCATAAAGCGAGTCCGTAACTCACGCCGGTTTTTGAGCTTGTATTGCAAGCGCATGTGAAGCGATAAATTGATTTCCCCTTCTCCCTTCTATTCTTGCTTGCAAGATGAATAAATTCCACGATTCAAACTATCCTTAGCGCTTCACATGCACTTGCAATACAAGACCAAAAACCGGCGTAAGTTACGGAATCGCTTTATGAAACGAGGCCCTGGTCAGTGAGAGGAGCGTAGCTGAGCCACGGCTAACGACACTACATAGGCAGGGATCGATTGATAGTTCAGTGGTTAATGCGGAGCGATGAATGGGCTGTAGCAGAATACGCATTATTAGCCTTACCATACCAGTGCCGCGACATGACGCGTGTCATATCACATTACTATCTCCCCCAGCCTACCTCCATCAGACAGGCCTACCGACGCCCGCCCGCCGAATAACACCTGTCCGACGCACTATCACGTTACACACACGCATTAAACATCCCCACCGCCCTGTCAGAGCGAGTTACAATAAACAAGACCGTAACTAAAAAACACAATACCGCCTACCGCCTAACCGGCGCTACCCACCCCACCGCAGAGGCAAACGAAAACAAGATGTTATGACCGGACTGCGTTGGTGCGCGTGTACGCGGGTGAACGCTCGGTTGCACAAGCGCGGCGCAGGTTAGCGTCCGCGTCGGCGTCCGCGGCGCAAGAGTCGAACTTTCTGGTTCGCCATAACACACAGAAACAAACCACTCACACATCCTGAGTCACCCACTCAGCTGCTTCGGCTCAGAAATGGCTGCGACTGCTGTCCCCAATCAGGCTTTACGGCAGCTTCTGTGGCCCCTGGGACCATTTGGTGGGATTGGCTACCATCGGCGTTTCAGCTAGGACCATTTCCGTGCCCACGAATGAAGAGGCGTTCGTTGTCCCACAACAGTCGACTTCTTGAGGCCTGCAACAGCCATGGACTGAGGCAGGTATTGATCTGACTTTACTGATGAGACATCGACCCGTCTCAGTAATTGTTTCGGCCTCACCTGATTATCGATCTGATCTGATCGACAAACATCGATATGAACGCCTCAGGCATTGACTTAGCTTGACCATCAACCGACACCTTCATATTCGACCGGCGCGGACATTGACCTGACCTGAGCTTACTTAACCTGACTCACACTGTCCTGCCACTTACCTCTAACTGTACCAAGTAATAACCTGGCCTGACCTGACAAACATAGACCCGAATATCTCGTACCCGCTACAGGCATCGTTCTGACATATAGACCGTTTTTCTATCTCGTACCTGACTGTCTCGGACATTGAAGTCGTTCAGCGGTGAGCTGAAGTCGCCCGCCGACGGCGCCTGTTTGAACCCAAGCAGCTTTCCGTCGTCAAACAGTGTGAAGTAGCGCGGCCGCCACGTCTTGATGTGTTCACCTGTGGAAGGAGGGGGGGGGGGGGAGTCAGGTGTTCTGATGTGATGTCCACGGGCCCACGGCGGAAGGAGGGTGGGGACGATCGACAGAGAGTCAGGGGATAAAAGTGAAAAAAACATCACCCGAATGCATCGAAACAACGCAAAACTTATTATTGCTATATTTAAGCGAGATATGCATGCCTTCATCAGTTCTCTTTGCCGTACAAAGTATTCAACATTTCAGCTGTAGCGTTCTCAGAAATAAATTCCGGGTGGGCTAGGACGTCAGTCAAGATGAAGCTCAAGCGAGGCATCTGACGAAATCCATGTTATAACGTCGGATTCCAACCATTCGGCGATCACTAAACAAACCATAGAACGCTGACGAGTGTTTGAGTTTTCACTTCTTCGCACCGTTGAAGAGTTACAATCTCAGCTCCACCCGCCTCTAATATCCCAGAACCGGTTAGCCGCTCGGCAAATAACTCTGTCTCGGAGACAAGATCTGTTTACCAAGCACTTTAAACAAAGCTGCCGAATAGCAGATAACGCGACCAGTTTTTACATGCGAAAAAACAGCACGTCTATCGCGGCTAATAAACATAGTATTAACTGGAGTCACCGTGGAGGGAGTTTCAGCGGTACGGAATCAACCACCACTATAACCACCACACCACTACCTATATAACCGTAGTCAATTTCAATACAGAAAGTCTGCAGTCTCACTTCTTTCTCACCAATGTTATCCGTTCATCCATTGCTCTCTACCGCCTGGTCCAGCCACGATCGATTCACTCTCTCATCCTCTCCCTCGCCTTCTCAGCCCTCTCTCCTACGACATAAACACCGAGTGGTCGGTGGTGCACCGCAGTGGTGATACTGGTGACCGCTGTGGTGACCGCTGCGGTGCGGTGGTGCCAGCCGTTAGTGACGGCACGTTCCGGGGTTAGCGCGGGCGGCAGTGCGACTCATAAATAGGCTTCGGTCACGGCAGCGGCGCTGGTGGCTGAGAGGGAACATGATGGGCCGGGAGGGAAATCAGAACAGGAAAGAGATCTGTAAGCAGAAAGGGAAGCATTCGCAAAGATAAAAAACAAAATTGGAATGTGGGAGGAAGGAGATTAGCTGACGAATACCGATCCGTAACTGTCTGCAAGATGCAACCAATTTCGACCGATATGGTTACTTTTACTGAGTGAGATAACAACTTTTTATACACACAAACTCGACAGTGAACAACAACGCAGCTTTCTTCAAACCACTCCGAAAACAAAACAAACATCAGCGATGGCGGAGGCACTGTTTCTTGCCACCATTTCCGAATTCCGAGCACAAAAACAGCTCGTCGGAACGAGTTGCCCTCGTCTCCAACAACATCCAACACACCGCACGATAATGGAGCGACAAACACCAGCCTCAAGCCCCCAGCTATTGCGGCAGCGGCCGCCGGGGCCGGTCTCTGCACTCTCCCGCCTGCAGCAGTGCCCGTCTACGGCCAATCTCTCGGCGGCCGGAGCAATACAGGTCGTTCACTTCCCGATCGGGCCGCCGCCTCGGTGCCCTTGACTGCAAAAACAGCGGTGACCTTGGCCGCCAAAACAGCCCAGAGAATGTGTGTGCAAACAACAGCGCGGCATCGGAAACAGCCGGCCGGCCGGCGGCGGGGACTGGGGTGGAAGAGAGGTGGACGGTGGACGTTGGGTGGAATGTAAATGGTGGAAGGTGGACAGTGGAATGAAGATAGGATGGTAAGATGGACGGTATTTGTGGAAGGACAACGGATGATGGCGCAATGGAAAGGATTGCGGACGGCTGAAGTTGAACAGAGAAAGGTGCATGGTGAAAACAGAATGGCGCAAAGAGGACGATTGACAATTGTGCGGCTAAGTTACTCGGACGACAGAAGGCGGACAGCGGAAGTTGATCGTAAATTGCCAACAGTGGAAGGTGAATAACAAGAGGTGAACGGCCGGCCGGGCGACGCGCAGCCTGTGTGGAGCCGGGCGCGGCGGCCGGACTGACGAGCGGGCACCGGTGCGGGTCACCGGCCGAGCGTAGGTCGCCGGCTGAGCGTAGGTCACCGGCCGGCCGGACACAGGTCACCGGCCGAGCGTAGGTCACCGGCCGAACGGACAAGTCACCGCCCGAGCACAGGTCGCCGGCCGGGCACGGGCAGTGCGGTGTCCTTGGCTCCCACCGCGCGTACCGCCGCGTTCCACAACCGGCCGGAGTTGTCAACATGTGTGTCAGTCTCGCCTGTCCCGTGCACCGGCTCCGGTCGGAGCCCGACTGGGGCCAGGGTGCCGAGCTCACCGCCAACCCAGACAGGGGACCCAGCCCATCCCACTGCAGACACCCGGCACAGCTGCAGACCGCCGCTAATGGGCCTCTGAGGAGCCGGGCGAGACGATCCACCCCTCCCCCTCCGACCCACCCAGACAGTCTGCACAAAACACGGGCGAGACTAAACCAACTCGACCGGGGTGATGGCGTCATCGTCACCCGCTGGAGAGTGGCCCGCCTAACATTCGGACGGGACTGGGAGAAAGAATCGCATGGCTAGACTGTGAAAACGCATCAACCAAGGCAGATCCTCCGGTCAGTCAGAACAGACAGCAGACCACAGCGCACTCAGCGTCATTCCTTCCGCCCAGCTGGTGCAGCCATTTGTTTACACCGAGAGGACACCTGTGTCTACAGAATGGGGCGGAAGGGCGGCGGGACGGACGGGCGAACAGGCGAAAATGCGGACAGACGTCCCGACGTTCAGACGGACGGACGGACGGACGGACGGACGGACAGGCGAACAGGCGAACAGGCGAACATGCGGACAGACGTCCTGACGTCCAGACGGACGGACGGACGGACGGACGGACGGACGCCGCCATCCGCCGCGAGTGTCGACAATGCGTCACGGTCGGCCACAAACTGTCGGTACGTCCGGCACGTCAGTGGGCAGACGAATGGGACGTCAGCAGCGTCAGACGCAGTTGCAGGCTGACGTGGGCGAACTGCGGAGGGTAGATTGACGCAGGCGGCCAGAGGCGCACAGCTGGTGTCTGATATTAGAGAGATTGGTTGTGCGAGCGCGATCCCTAAATTCACCACAGGACAACCATGGCCACCAGGAAAGAAATAAGGACTCAAAGCTACACCATGTTGGCTGTTGGTTGGTTCATTGGATCAAGTCCTAAATGACCACTTCCTGGAACACAGATGCTCAATTTGTCAAGAACATAACCCCGAGTTTGTCCCCTATTCGGCTTTGCTAGCCTGCCAAACACCAAATGCAACACCTTACAACTATGATTACAATAACAAACACCCAATTTCCAAACCCAGGGTCTCCACCTGAACTGTGTCCACTGCCCCAGTGTCTCCACCCTCACCGGAGTCACCACCCTTCCACACACAACCCGCCGTTCCCCACCAACCCCATCAGATGCGACCACCGCGGATTTCTGCAGACTCTGAGCCCGATTCCCGGACCGACGCCTGGAGAACCGTGTTCGTGACGCCGCGGAGGCGCCGAGAGCGGCCGGCCGGGGCTAATCCACACCTCGGTGCCGGTCAGACCAGATCACCTCCTCCCCACAGAGCCCCAGAGAGACGCCAGTTGCCATGCCGGCCGCCGGAAACACACAGCGAGCCGCGAGGCCGCCGCGCGCCGGCCGGTTGTAAAACGGTGAGCGCGGAGTGGCATTTAGCGGTGCGCGGACCGGCTGCGCCGCGATTTGGGGCCGCGGTGGCCATGGAGCCGTGACAGCGGTGGCGGCAGCTGGCAGGGACCAACTACAATGCGCTTGAGGTTGTTCACTCCCTCTCTATGTTCAGATTGTGGCAGGTTTATTAAATAAATTTACAAATAATGTTACGATCACGCCTGCTTGCGGTGCTATCTTCATGAATACAGATGCCATGTCAACCGAATAATTCCTAGACATACATTCACGTCATTTGTCTTCTTTTGGTACTGGGGCACTACCTGCTATATTTGGTTCATATATCTCCTGGTGGCTTGCACCTCACCAACACGTCACTGTATCAATTTCCCAACACACGTCCCACCCACCTGGCCACACAGCCACGAGCCATCAGCTATCAAACCCATCCCTCAAAAGATGTATCAGCGAGGACACTTTCAAGGAATTAATTACCGCGCCCTGTCGCCCCGGGAAGACCCCGCCGATAATAATTTTAGCGGTGACTGCCCCTCTGAGGTATAAACTGGTACATACCTATGACGCCACAGGTCCATCCACCTGTGTTAGAATCGGAGGGTTGGGGCAGGCTTGGGGGTCAGTGACCGGACAACTCACCGGCTCACGCTTTGTTTAAGACTCGCTCGGGACTCTAAAGACGAGACAACGGGATCAGGTGAGTACGTGATATTCGGAACGAACAGGTCCCAAGTTGTGTCCATACACGACACAGGAAGCGGTATGATACTGCCTTTGAATGGCTAACCGGCGTTCACGCCCGACACAAGCTCGCTTTTAGAGACAGCCCTTCTGCATGAATGGTCAGTTATAAACGTTTAACTCATTGCAGCAATGAGTGTGGGCTGTAGGACGTCTGTGCGAGGACAAACAGATAAACCAATTAGCAAGTACTTCACCCCCTTAAACCGTCAACCCTCGATGCATTCATCGTCCTAGGCAGCTAGTATTCACCGCACCCACTCCCACATAGACAGGAGCCAACGCTGGACGCACCGCACTCCCACGTAGACAGGAGCCAACGCTGGACGCACCGCACTCCCACGTAGACTGCCAGCCGCAGCCACCCACACTCACCTCGTTTGTAGAGCCAGCCCTCCTTGATGATTTTGCCGGTGGTGGGGGTGACCACCGAGCCGGTCACCTCCGGCACCTCGGCCATCGAGACCGTGTTGGACCTGCGGGAGACAAAGAGGGGGGGGTATACTGTCAGAACGGGGTCTCCCCACAGTCAACGGTGAAAGGTCACGTCAGGTGGGGTCTCTCGTCCGAAAGCGTCTCCATTCTGCACAGTCAGCAGGTGGAGAGAGGGCCTCCTATCAGAAGGGATCTCTTCACACGCGACAAGGGCACATCAAAAGGGGGTCTCCCTACAGTCAAAGGAGGAGACAGGGTCTTTCGCCAGAAGGGGTCTCTTTGGTGGTTCGAAGGTCAGCAATGGGACTAGAAGCAGGTGAAGTATCGGAATGATGCACAGATGATCTGTAAATGAGAATTGAAAGGGATCAATGGCAACGGAAGCGCGAATGAGAGACGTTTCAAGAAGCGTTACAGAACCTGATTGGGTCTTGGGAGCAGCGTGAAGTAGCCAGCGACAAATTTTCGAACATACGATTTGAAGCAGAAGAGCAAGGCCAGTAAATCCCGATTGTAATCAATAAACAACTAGAGGATATCAATCGCTGGTGCTGTGGGCAGCAGAAGTCACACAAAACTCAGAGATAACTTCTTGTCAACATCACCAGTTAGGCCCCCGTTGCCCGCGCCACTATCACCAAGCGTTCGCCTCAGTTGGCTGTCAGCGGCCGAAACCACTCGCGTCGGCTCGTTTGTAGGGTAGGACGGCCCCTAAAAAACGCACCGACGGAGTGATAACGACGAGGTATATGGTCGGGATTAAGGATATGCAGGTTTGACGAATCTCGAAGTCGCATCTATTAAATAGGTGAGGGTGGGTGGGAAACTTCTCGCCCACTCTCTGCTCCACTCGCCGTCCGTCGCAGTCGACGACTGCCGTTCGCGCCTCTCGGCTCTCCTGCCAGCGGCGCGCCCGTTCCTACACTCCCCTTCGCACCACCCCTAGTCAGGGTCTGCCCCGCGTCTGTCGGCGGGGTGATTTATCTATCTCCGACCCCCGTCTCCCTTTGCTCCGGTCACGTTCGGTGGCGCCCGGGCAGGGTCCTAACCTTCCATAGCCGCGTCGCCGCTATGAGATGATTAGGCCCCCGTTGCCCGCGCCACTATCACCAAGCGTTCGCCTCAGTTGGCTGTCAGCGGCCGAAACCACTCGCGTCGGCTCGTTTGTAGGGTAGGACGGCCCCTAAAAAACGCCAAATACACCCAATGGAATGAAAAAGTCTTAGGCTAAGCGTCCGCTGCCCACACCTTTCTCGATCTCTGCTGAGCAGTTAATGGTTTGACCACGAATCCGGGCACATGCCGCATGCGGAAGGTTCCCAGTGTGTTCCGCTGGCGATGCCCGGTCTGTTATTGCGGCATGGCTCTTGGTGGTGAGTTTGGGTCGAACCAGTTAGTGTGAACCGGGGCGGCGAGGGACTCCCTCCACCCCAAGGTCGGCTCCCGTCCTGAGTCAGCTGTGACTGGACCCCATACTCCCCGCACAGTGACGCCAGTGACTCACTGTCGACCGGCGTGGGGGCGCCGCGACCCACTAATGGAACGTGACCGTGTTCGGGGTGTTCGTTAGTCGTCTGCCTCTCGTGGCCGCCGGGGGACCAGCGGGGGAGCCGGGTCGTGCGGCGTCGGCTGGTATCAGGTTGCGGCGGGCGGCCCGTCCCGCCGCTGTCGCCCGGTTTGAGGACCGTGGCGGCCCCACTGTGAGCCTCTGTGGCCCCGCGGACAGTACCGGCAGGCGGGCCCGCGGCTGCCCCGGCGTTGACTGTCTCATCAGCCGGTCCGGTGTCATGGCGGTGCCGGGGCTGTGACAGCGGCCGGCGGCCGGCTCTGGCTCCGCCGATGGCTGTCTTTTCTGACTGGCGGTCGGCGCGGTCGGCCTTGGGGGAGGGGGTGGGGGGGGGGGGGGGAGGGGCGACTGTGGTTCCCGGCGGCCCTGCCGTGTCGTTCGCTGATATTCCGGTGTGTGTGAAGCCATGCCTGGACACACTGCGGTGAGAGGGGGGGGTCCGATCCGATGGTTTTGTCCTCGTGTCGGTCTTGGACCCCCGTGTTCACGGCCTCGGGGTTGTGATGTTTAGCCCGGCACGCTTCCCGGCGCCTAAACCGACGTCATCGGTGCTGGCTAAAATGGAATGCCGCGAATCTGGGATCAGTGGCCTGGTTTCGTCTTTGATATCGTGCTGCAGATTATCTAGTCGTCTGCAGCGGTCCCGTAGACCTATGTTGCGCGCAACTTAGCCGCGGCGTCGGCGGCGGACCCGGTTTACGTGCTCATACGACCGCACATACATAAATGGGGTTTGTATGGCCATGTGGCCGTGAATGACTGGTAGAAAAGGTTGTGCATAGATTCCGGTGCTGTGATGGCACCGCACGCAAAGCACAGTGCCTCACGGAAAGTAGGAACGGTGCATTGTTAGGGTACTTTAAACGCACCTACCCCTACCTAAGAATCACGTGCTGTTCATGAGGCCTGTGAGCACGGGCGCCGATGACTTTTCTGCCGCTCCGTTCTGGCCTGCGGGATGACAACTTTGCATTGCCAGCGCATATGGGGACTCACATTTGGCAGCTGCTCGCACGGGTTACCGTGGGTGGGCAGGGTTCGCGAAAGTGTCGGCTGCCAGCTTGCCGCAGATTGCAGTGTCGCGACGCTTACTCAGAGTCTCGAGAGTGGGGAGCCGGCAGGCAGCGGCGTAGTCGGTGTAGTTGTGTCCGGGCATGATCTTGCATGCATTTTGTCTGTGCTTGCTCGATTCCTGCACTCAGAATACACTTTGAGAGCAGTTTGAATATAAAGACTCAATTGAGCGCTGAAAACCAGCCTCGAATGTGTCTGATTTTAAAACGGTTTCAGTAAGGCTTCCTAAGGGCTCATGTACCCGAATACTGGATTCAAGCGATACCGAAACTGGGGTTCGGACTGGAAACTGGTTTCATAGTAAGACTAATTTTTAAAAGCTTGACACCGAAAATAGGTACCGACTGAGCTCTGTTTCTGCGATCAATGGCGTTGCTCAGAAAATATTCTCAAAATGTGTGATCTGTTTTGAATCGGGGACATTAGCCCGAAACTGATCTCTGAGACCGAAAAAGGAGAAACTGTTTTCTCAGTGTGTGCGGATTGTTCGTTCGGTCTCGTCTGCCACCGTTGAGCCCAGTATTTCAGACATTGGACGAAAGAAGTTCATAGTCTGTCGATAGCTAGATGCCTGTCGAGTTGCAGAGCAGCCGATGCATGACGCAGACCGGGTGTGTATGTGTGTGTGTGGGGGGGGGGTGCGTGTGTGTGTGTGTGTGTGTGTGTGTGCGTATGTGTTAAGCGCAAAGTGGCCGAGGCGTCGGCAGCGGACCAGGTGTGTAGTGTAGACAGAGTGGCCGAGGCGTCGGCAGCGGACCAGGTGTGTAGTGTAGACAGAGTAGCCGAGGCGTCGGCAGCGGACCAGGTGTGTAGTGTAGACAGAGTGGTCGAGGCGTCGGCGCCGGACCGGATGTATGCGTATGCCGATTTGCAGAAATACGGAGGCGGCCACTTAGAAAATACTTTGAGACCTTTTCACAAAGAGACTCCTTGAGTGCTAAACCGAGCCTCCAAGGTGACTGGCTGAGATGTGTTTCTGCGGCAGCGTATGTCCATCAGGTTGCGTTCGGAAGCGCTTCTCGAAATGCGTGGTCTGTTTTGACAAGGGGCCTTATCCCATCTAACCAACCCCGCCACGTTGCCTCGTCAACAAGTGCTGCTTTATCTCGCTATTGAAGCGGCTCCCAGGCAGGTTCGTGTCAGGTTTCGTGGCAAGATGTTATATGCGATGACAATAGCGTGTCTGAACTACGCCTGCCAGACTCCGATCGAATCGCCGGCGTGACTAAATGGTCTGCGTTCCGTGTTGTACGGTACGGCGGTGAACACCTCCACGAGTGACCAGGTCGCCGGCGATCGACTCAGGCTCTGATGTCACTAAAATGCGCTTTAGTAAGCTAAGTGCCTACCGTGTTGCAGAGGGCCGAGGTGACGGCGGCGCACCTGGCGCCTGTAAGTTGCAGAGTAGCCGAGGCGTCGGCGGCAGGCCTGATGCGTGTGCATGGGTTGCAGATTAGCCGAGGCGCCGGTGGCGGACCCGATGTGTGCAGGGGTTACAGTGCAGCCCAGGCGTCGGCGGCGGGCCCGATGTATGTGCATGAGTTGCAGAGTAGCTGAGGCGTCGGCGGCGGTCCTGATGTAGGTACTTACGTGCAAGGGGTGTAGCGTAGCCGAGGCGTCAGTGGCGGACCTGATGCGTGTGCGTGAGTTGCAGAGTAGCCGAAGCGTCGGCGGCGGACCTGATGTATGTGCCGTTGCAGAGTAACCGAGGCGTCGGCGGCGGACCTGATGCATGTGTGTGAGTTGCAGAGTAGCCGAGGCGTCGGCGGCGGACCTCATGTACGTGCGAACATGGGTGGAGAATTGTTTTCAAAGTTGGTATGGCGCCAGTTGCTCGAAACAATACTATCGTGTTTTATTCTTATCAAACTGAAATCCTTAAATTTCGTAGCTGTTACCCTGAAAAGTTGGTATGGCATTGCCATACCATCTTTTAAGTTGGTGTGGCGCGTGCCATGCCTGCCATACCATATTCTCGACCCATGCCGGTGCAGATTTTACGGGGTGGCTGAGGCTATACGACGGCGGGCCTGATGTGTGTGCATGAGTAGCAGAGGGGCCGAGGCGTCGGCGGCGGACCTGATGCATGTGCATGAGTTGCAGAGTAGCCGAGGCGTCGGCGGCGGACCTGATGTATGTGCGTGATTTGCGGAGTGGCCGGGGCGTTGTCGGCGAACCTGATGTGTGTGCGTGGGTTGCAGAGTAGCCGAGGCGTCGGTGGCGGACCTGTTGTATGTGCAGTGCAGTGTATTGATGTCAACTACGGAAAAACGGAATACCGATACCAAACCAAGTACCAGCCTATGGTTCATTATACCATCAAAATACCGAACACATTAGGAATCAAATACCAAGTACCGAGTTGGTATCAGTATGGTATCGGTATACCGAAAAGTTGTA